TTTTATGCCAGTAACATACTGTTTGGATTACTGTAGCTTTGTAATATAGTTTAAAATCAGGGTGCATAATGCCATCAGCTTTGTTCTTTCTCAAGTTTGCTTTGGCAAATCAGGATCTTTTGTAGTTCCATACAAATTTAATTTTTTTTTCTATTTCTGTGAAAAACGGCCATTGGAAATTTGAAAGGAATTGCATTGAATCTATAGATTGTTTTGGATAGTATGGACATTTAAACAATATTAATTCTTCCAAGCAAGGAGCAGAATCTCTATTTGTGTCTTCTTCAGTTTCTTTCATTAATGTCATAATTTTCGGCGTACAGGTCTTTCATCTCCTTAAATTTATTCCTAGGTATTTTATTCTTTTTGACGCAATGATAAATGGGATTTTCTTAATTTATTTTTCTGATAGCTAATTATTACTGTATAAAAACCCAAAATATTACATATTGATTTTGTATCTTGCAACTTTACCGAGTTCATTGATTAGATATAATAGTTCTTTGGAAGACTATATGGTTTCTCTATCTAATACCATGTTATCTGCAAATTGTGAATTTTATTTCTTCTTTTACAATTTGGATGCCTTTTGTTTTTATTTCTTGCCTAATTTATCTGGCTAGGACTCCCAATACAATGTGGAATAAAAGTGGTGATAGTGGGAGAAGAGGGACCTTTTCTGAGCAAATGTTGATCTGAGAGCCAGGGTGAAGAGGTGAAGGTGGGTGGTTGAGTTGGAGAATTCCAGGCAGAAACATAACCAGACCATAAAGAGGGAGAAAGGGGTAGTGAGGCAGGAAAGGGTGGGAAGGGCCAGATCATTCAGGAATTTGTAGGCCCAGTTGGGAAATTTAATCATGGGCTAAGATCCATAGAAGCTACTTCAGGGCTTTAATCTGGGTAGTGACATGAGAGGATGTGCAATTTCAATGGGTCCCGAATATCCTTGAATGCAATATGGAGATAGGACTGCAGAGTCTCCCAGGGGTGGGCAAACTTTTTGACTCGAGTGCCACAGTGGGTTCTTAAACTGGACCTGAGGACCGGAACAAAAGCATGGATGGAGTGTTTGTGTGAACTAATACATGTTAACACTGCTGCTGGTGAAGGAGCGGAGGGGAGAACAAGAGAACCCTCCGCTCTTTTGGCTCCGCGGGCCGGATGGAACAGCCGAACGGGCTGGATCCGTTTGCCCACGGCTGATCTAAGGGCATGTCCAGACACTTCCTGCGATTATTGCATAAGTCCAGGTGGGAGATACTGTAGATTAAAGAAGTGGGGGGAGGGGGGCTGACAGAGGAGAAGGAGGGAATTAGAGAGGGGAGGAGTCCTGTGGGATCAAGGACAAAGGTCAGGTTTATAGCTGGTATAAATGGATGGGGGTGGTGCCATCCATTGAGATGGGGTCGGGAAGACTAGGTTCAGGGGAAGATCATGAGTGGCTTTTGATATTTTGTGATGAATACCTGAAAATGCCGAGTTGATGGTAGATATATCTGTCTAGACTTAGAACAGATGTCTTGTTAGATTATCCAAGGGTTAATGGCTTACTGATGCTAAGTGTAGCCCTGGGTGTGGAGGAGATCCCAGTTCTAACTTTAACATCTTAAAGACTTGGTGGAGGAAGATGAGCCAGTAAAGGACACTAAGAAGTGTTGATGGGAGAAGAAAAACAGGAGTTCATCGTCTCAGAAACCTAGTGGTTGGTAGCCGAATGCTGCTGTAAGAGCTCACTTCAAATTCAGGCTGAAGTATGTCCACTGATAAATGACAAGGAGGTAATTGCTGAACTTTAGCAAGTACTGTTTTGTCAGAGTGATGGAAATAGACATTAGAATGGAAGAAAAAACAGGGAGTGAGATAGAAGTGGAGATATGGTGAGGAAGGAGCCTTCCTAAAGAGGTTTGTGTAAGGTGAAGACCAGATTTCAGTTCTGATTTTGGCCCGATGTGAGCAACCTCACTAACTGTAACTCTCAATCTTAGAACATTATATCCCCCCAAATACAAAACAAATTCTTTATCTGTTGTCAACATTAAAGTTTGAACTCACTAAGCTATGGGTTACTATATCCGTCTCTATCGGCCTTTGGGGTCCCATGTTGTTCTGCATCAGGATACTTTGAGTTGCTGGTGAAAATTGGAGCGAGAAAAAGCTGAAGATTGTTGTAAAGTACCCGGGTATTCCTAGCGGGAGCTCTCCCCACAGGAGCTCTTCTGTTTCCTAGAAATCATGTCCTTTAGGAAAGGAGACCATGCCCATCACAGTAGGTGTGGCACTTCTTGTTAGGTTACCCTTTTCTTTGTAAATCAATTTTTATTTTCTCCGATGGGTTTGTATTTCTACCTCTTTTTCTGTTTAGAAGATAGACCTGTCTTATTCATTTTACTTCAATGGAGCAGTAGCTGCCACCGGGAAGTTGTATTTTCTAGTGGCAAGGGGATCATACCAACCCTCAACCATGCCCATATCTATGCTCATTGCACCAGGACCTCCTCACAAGGACTGCCTTCCATGTATGTGCTCAATAGTCAGACAGGAAGGTATGCGGGTGGAGATAGGGATAGATAGGTCTCACCATGGAGCCCCCCGTGTGACAGTAATTCCAATGCTAAGTCTGAGGAATAGAGAGCTCCAGTGAAGAGAAGCCAGACCCTGACACGGGGCCAGGAAAAGGAACACAGTAAGGACAGGTCACCTGATAAAACACGTGCATCTTTGGAAGTTTGCAGGGATGTCCTTATAAAAATGTAAAACAAGTGCAAAAGAAATTAATGTGACCTTTAAAAGATCAGAGTGAGCCTGAACATTGGTTTTAAGATGCTTTATCAATTAGAGACCAGAGATTTTTTTCCTGATGATATTTATTTCATAAATGTAGTTATTTTTCTAAAACATATTAAAATAGAAAACATGTTCTTTGATCAATTCATACAAAGAAAATACCAATATAGTAATAAAATACTGAAAATATATGAAAAGCACCAGAACATTAGAGAAATTACACTGGCAACAATTCTAGGAATATATTTTTTTGCAATTGTACAATAAAGTGCTATTAAATCCAGTCAAAATTAGTGGCAATATATAAAAAGGTATGCTATCATTATGAAATTTGAGGCTAGATTTACCAGCAATTGCATTTTTAGGCAACTTGCAGATCAAACTAATGATATCTCAATGTTTTCATGCAAAAATCTATTCATTTCCATCAAGTGAAAACAATCTAAATCTACATATATGTTGGTTCTTGGTAATTTGGTCATGAAAAAGTAATGACATGATTCAAAATAAAATAATTATAGAGTACCAAAAATAATCATACAAATGTGATTAAATAAAATCAAGACAGAATAAAATCATATGTAAAAACAGTGATTAATCTAAAAAAACAACAACAGTGATTAATCAAGACAAGTACACAAGTTTAATGCCTTTGATTTTATGGTAACTTTTCAGTAATATTGCTAGTCACATTTAACAGACACACAAATGTTAATAAGATATGTTAATAAATTCATCTGACCAGACATTAAGGAAGAACATTTTAGTGAATCAATGGAATTTTTATATGAAAAATTAAAGGAAGACTGTTAAGATAGTATATTTCCAATTTTGACTAATTATTTCCTCGTTTATTTGCTGAGGAACAAAAACATACATTTTGGTATTTGATTATATTAAAGCCAGAAATCTAACATATAAGAGAAAACCGCTGTGCACAAACACAGGGGGACACTATAGATAGTACTTAGGGTGGACTGCAGTCACTTTCACGTCTGGAGTTGGCAAACTGAAATAGAAAAAGCCAAATTAAGACAGAGTATCAGACCAGTGTCCTTTTAAGGACTCTAGTATATGGCTCTTCATAGCTCAGTCTTGGAATCATCAACTTCTCCAGATGAAAACTATCAACACTACACCTCAGAATAAAAAAAATCTCCAAACATGACTCAATGAAGACTCACAATTTATTTTACAGGCAGGCTATTTTTTTCTTTCATATAAAGTAGATTTACACGTGAACCAACATGGACTGAAACTGGTGATATTAATGAGGACAAACTAATTTAATAGCAAGGTGCTTCTTTTTAGGAATTTAAGAACCGCCTGGGTATTACTGGGACAAGGCAGAGAATCAGGCAAGTAACTTAGCCCTGGTCTAAAGGTTTTACAGCTCATCACGAGTTGTTTTATACTTGTAAAGTGAAGAGCTGACACTTGAGTTTTTTTTTTTTTCATGCTTATAGATACTCCAGTCTTTTGTCAAGTTCCCCTTTTATGGCTGACTTGAACAAGGAACTGAAATGTAAACGAATTCTATTGCTATGTATCTCAAAAACTAACTCTGCAAAAGATTTTATCTAACTCCTTTAAGGAAAGAGGGTGAAGACGGCGCAATAGATGACCAGGATTTTATAACAAATGAAGCAAAGGGGTGAGGATACAGACATAGTGAGCAACATGAAAATGGCATAAAAAAGACTGGAAAGTGGAACTGGAGAGATTTTCCCTCTGGACATCACCAACAGAATTAAAAGAAAATCCAACCAAACTTAGTTTTTGAAATTCTATCTAAAGGAGAGTGTTCAGAAAAAAATTCCAGTCCTGGCCTGTGTGGCTCAATTGGTTGGCATCGTCCCATGCACCAAGAGATTGTTAGTTCGATTCTTGGTCATGGCACATGCCTGGGTTGTGGGCTCCTTCCCCAGAAGGGGACGTGTAGGAGGCAGCCAATTGATGTTTGTCTCTCACATTGATGTTCTCTCTCTACCTCTCCCTTCCTCTCTCTCTAAAATTGGTAAAAACATGTTTAAGAAAAAGTCTGGCCCTAGCCGGTTTGGCTCGGTAGATAAGAGCATCAGCCTGCGGACTGAAGAGTCCCGGGTTCGATTCTGGTTAAGGGCACATGCACGGGTTGCGGGCTCGATCCCCAGTGCAGGGGCATGCAGGAGGCAGCTGATCAATGATTCTCTTCATTGATGTTTCTATCTCTCTCACCTTCTGCCTCCCTCTCTGAAATCATTAAAAATATATATATATATTTTTAAAAAGTCTGAGACTAATAAAATGCAGGCTGTTAAGGAAGACAGAAAAGAAAGGCAAAAGGTGGCTTGGCATTAAGTAGTTTTACATTCCAAAAGAACATTGACTAACATCTTCAGAAGTAACTCTCAAAATTACAAAGTCATGATTACAGAAATTACTCTGTATGTTTTGTTTCAATATACATGTTCTATATATACAGTATAGAAAAGCTAATAAGTTGGCTCAGCTATAATAATGTCATAAAAAAATCAGATTTCATTCTTTTGGCCGCAACAAAGCATGTTATAATTTTCAGTTCTGCTAACATATACACAAGATAAAACTTAAGCTTTAAAAGTATTAAAATCAAAAGAAAAAAATAAGTTATATCTAAACTATTAATTTACACAACAAATATGCTTTACCTATTATACTAACCAGCTCTACTCTCATCAATTTCTTAAGTGTTTCTTTATTCTAACAGTTTGTTTTCAAGATGTGTATCTGTTCCCCTTTAAGTGTTGCACATTTCCTTTTAGGAAGCACAGATGTGTGACACTGTTAGTAGCATGGTGGAGAAGTTCTGGGTTTTACTTTTTCCAACTAATGGATGAAAGAGTCATGTTTCCTACCAAGCACCACTTCTTTGGCTGTACAACAAATAGAAGAAAGAGATGACAAAAGCAAGCAAGAGCACTGTTAAGGAAAGCAGCAGCTGCTGGAACCAGATACAACGCTGAACTTGGTCTTCAAGCTTTCTATTGCTTTCTAGTAAACGATTGAGCTAAACAGGGAAAAAAGGATGAAAGATTTGTATTAATAAAACTGTACATTAATCACGTGAATGACAAACAGGAATATTAGAAACCCATACATTTACAGGATGGGTCCATTTATTCTGAAAGGCTGGTAGCTGGAAATGCAATGAGGAATTAGATTCATTTGGTGAACAGACGTGCACGGGCTTACTCTTGTTTTGAAAAAGTCTAAGTTCTAGTTCAGAAAGGAGCAAAGTAATCACTCCCTGAAGTAGCAGAAGTAGCTACTCAGAAAGAGTACTCCATCCTCTTTTTTTTAATTTACCAGTAATGCACTGCATGGTATCTCTTCTGTGAGACAGAATTCTTTGATTACATCCCAAAGCACCATGCACTTTGCGATATGGTTCCTAGTTCAAATTAAAACGGCTAGAACTTTGCCCTGGCTTGTATGGCTCAATTGGCTGGATGTCATCCCATGCACTAATGGGCTGCTGCTTAGCTTCCTGGTCAGGGCACATGCCCAGGTTGCGGGCTTGATGCCCAGTAGAGGGCTTGCAGGAGGTAGCCGATTGATGTTTCTCTGTCAGTGCTTCTCTCTCTCCCTCTCTAAAAATCAATAAAAAATCTTTGAAAAAAAACGGCCAGAGCTTTAAAAGTTAGTAGATTTCCAAAAGTAACTCGCAGCTTACCATTTGTGATTTGGTTTCCCTTTACAAAGAAGAGAGCATTTCTGTTGTGTCTATGCCAAAGGTTTTCCTTATGTCAGTGGGAAAAAATGGATTTCTAATGTTAATTAGCATTAACAACATTGTTTTAGTTAGAAAGAATGAGCACTTACTTGTAGACACATATCTTCACTGGTTTTATCTGACATGTTAAAAGCACCGTCTTTTAATGTAAGACTGGTTGGTTTACTGCTCTCAACAATATGGCATCTTAACCTATGAAAATCCAAAGGAAACATAACTTCTCAAAATTAATTTTTAAAAATAAAAGTAAAATATAAAATTTTTAAAAACCCACAGAAGTATATGTAACACAGGTAAAAATACTCATTCCTCTACCCTGATTTACCTAAGGTAGCAGTGTATTTATCTTTGAAGGGGACATAATTTGGCACAAATATTATCTTGACCTCATTAAAAAAAATACAAAAAAACAGCAGACACTGGAAAAGCTCTGAAAACAAAGAAGTTACCCCTTTGTAAGAAAGAGTTACATTTACAAGGGAATCTCCATTTGTAAGGGTGCCTCACTCTCTGTACCAGGAAGAAGACTAAATCTGTAAACTTTTATCAATGGAGAAGGCATTGACCTAAATCTACATAACAGTCTTATCCTTGTTTCCTGTGCTTTTCCTGATAACCTCCCATAACTGGATCCTTTATCCCAACATCATCTTAACTGTAGATGGTATTTAAGGTGGTGGCCTGGGCCATTTGGGGGGTGTTTTATTGTTTTCTGGATCCCTCCCATGCACACAGGAGGATCTATAATAAAAGTATAATATGCTAATTAGACCAGAGGTCCTTCTGGAGGACCTTCCGTATGAGTGTTGGCAGGGGCCCGAGGCAGAGTGGGCGGGGGCCGAGGCAGAGGCAGCTGCCATGGTGGTGGTGGACATATATTAAATTTCTGTTTGTTTTTCTCCTGTTGTCTGTCTTCCATTGTGGGGGTGGGGGTGGTCTCAGCCAAGAACCTAGAAAGGTAAAGCAAAATTATTTTTCTTTTTCCTACAGTATGGTGACCTACTATGTATGGGACCTGCTGAGACACCATACTCATTTGGGAGCCTGCAGGTTGGATCCTGGAAACTGGCAGAAACTGGCAAAGGGTAAGGATTCTTTAAAAAGTCAGCTCTCCTGGATCTCACTCTAGCACCAGACTGAGAAGGAAAAGCCCTTGTCCCCTCCTTTCCAAATTTAGATTAGAAAGAGAAACATTTGTGTGAATTAGTTCCTTTGGTATTGGTATAGTGGTTTTGATAGAGAGTTTTGTTGCATACTCTTATTTTCTTTTTTGTTGTTGTTAATCCTCCCTGAATATGTTTTTTCCATTGCTTTTCAGAGTGAGTGGAGGGAGGGAGGGAGGGAGAAAGGGAGAAAGAGAGAGAGAGAGAGAGAGAGAGAGAGAGATATCCATTGATTGCCTCCCACACGCACCCCAACTGGGGGTGGGGAGCGAACTCACAACCCAGGTGCCCTTGACCAGGAATTGAACCCTTGGCCCTCTGGTGCATGGGCCCACACTCTAACCACTGACCCACACTGGCCAGAGCAGTACTCTTGTTTTCTATTGATCCTTTTCCCTCCCAGAGACAGTCATTGTTTTCTTTTGTGTCATTTGTCATAAGGAGAAGAACCATGTGCCCAGTGAAGTTTTCCTTTTGTGTTGTTCTATGTCTTGAGAGTTTGGCTTTGTGACCAATTAAGGATATTCTCTCTGGAGAGATGCATGCATCTGGTGACCAGCTGAATAGGCTTGGGGATCAGAGACACAAAGTGACAAGCGGCATTCTCTTTGTCCGACTGTGCCAGCTCCCATGGGAGTTTATCATAAGGGGCCCTGGTCTATAAGGGACATTTGTTGTCTCAACCTTCATTATCTCATAAGTGCTAGAAAAGTCCCGTTCCAGTAGCACCTGCCTGGTGTCAGAGATTAGTGAGTCTGTGATTGGGGGCATCTCGCATTTCTTGTGGGAAACCAGAGACGTGCTTGCACTATACTATTTTACTGCCTGAAACAATGAAGATTTTTGCTTTCTTAATATAGCTAACTCTGCGAGTTAACTTTTTGAACTTGTGAGGGCTGCATTTTTTGAACCCTCTTTTGGGATACCTCTTGCATCCATGGTTAAACCATAAAAAGACTTATATTAATCTCATGCACCATTGAGATTAATATAAGATCCTATTGATCAGTGGCCAGGTGATAGATCCTATGAAACATAAAACCATCCATGTTTGAAAAAAATTTTAGACCACTCTCATTCTAAACAATTTTCTTCTTGGTATCTATGGAAAGACCAAATTGAAAGGACAGGAAATAGTATGGCAAAGTCCCTAGCCTTAGGGACTTTCTTATCAAGATGAAAT